GATGCCCCCCCCCCCCCCCCCCCCCTGGTAGTCTACGCCTATGTTCTCAATGACATTCAAAGATATAAAAACACGTTTTTAGCGAGTAGCTGTGCGTCTTGATGCGCCAAAAAAAATCAAATTCGATGACGATGACGGCAAGTCGTAGCAATTCGGTTGCTGCGTGTGAACGCGGACGGCCCGTGTTGCTGGTGTTGCGATGTCAAGTTTCTGGGTGAAATGGCCCCGTCTGAAGCGGGGCTAAGGGTTTCTCTTTTTTCGTTCTTTCTTTTTAGTTTCTTTCTTCCTTCTTTTGTCTTCTCCTTTTCTGTTGTCATGTCTTTCGCCTTTTTTTTTCTGGTATTTTGTGCTATTTCTGCGGCTTATCACGTTCTGGAAAGCCAATCCAGATGTTGAAGAGAATGAATCCGTTTCACCTTATGTTGTACCGCAACGAAGGCTAGAAGCGCGAGCTCATAGCGTTGGCAGCGGCAAGTGGTGCACGAGAGCTTGTGCCGCCGAGATGTGCCCTAGAGCAAGGAGCTCGCGCTTGTAGCCTTTCCTGCGGTACAACACAAGGTGAAACAGAGTATAGTCGAATACAGAAGAGTTGTAAGTTTAGCGCGTGTGCTTGTCTTCCTGAGTATCTGGTATGTGATTGTTTCTCTGCGCTGTCACCGTAGAATAAGAATGACGAAAACCTTTTTGCACTACTCACGTCTAACTCCAGTTGGTTAGCTCAGTTGGCAAAGCGCTCCCCTAGAAATGGTGAGGTGCCTGGTTCGATACTACGACCAGGCGGATTGTTTCGGTCGCGCACCAGCACCTAGCTGTGTTTGGAGATTTGTGTTTGTCATTTGTCCCCCTTAATTGTTCGCCTTTTCCATGGATTATTTTCGCCATGTAATATATATAATGAAAAAACTTCAATGTTTACTGTAAATTTGAAGAATTCCACAGGAATACAATTTGGCAATATCGACTTCATCCGTTGAATTAAGAGAAATCAAATATTTCTTAATTGTTTTTTTTTTCTTTAGATTTGAATAGGGAAGAGGTCTTGGTGGTCGTTCCTTATTTATGCTGAGAGCTATCTGCTGTCACCTTCGAACGGCCCCTAGAATACTATCAGTAAACGTGTTGACTTCAACGTGAGTTTTATATCACAGATTTTCATTTCATTTCATTTATTGGTACCCTCAGGGCCCGAAGGCATTACAGAGGGGGTGGGATTATTACGTACAAGTTAATGGAACTCTCAAATCACAATCAACTTCTAGTAGTATTGATACAGCTTTTTTTAAATCAACAGGATTAACAATTGTGGCGATGGATGTGGAAAGGTGATTCCAGTCAGCAGACGTACGAGGTATGAATGATCTGTAGTAGGTATTAGTGTGGCACTGTGGAATTTCGACTTTATGTATGTGATCATTGCGTGATGATATGTAGGATGGCTCCAGTAGGAGTTTAGTCTTAAGTATAGGGTTGTGAAAAAATATTTTCTGAAATAAACTTAATCGATACAACTTTCGGCGTAAAGAAAGAGCTGGCAAGGAAAGGCATTTTTTCATAGAGGTTACGCTTGATGTACGATGGTAATTAGAAAGAATGAAACGCACAGATCTATTCTGGACAGCCTCCAAGGCGCCGACGAGGCTCTCAGTGTTAGGATCCCAAACAGCAGAAGCGTACTCAAGTTTTGGCCGGACTAGTGTTTTATAGAAAAAGAGTTTCAAAGTCGAAGGAGTCTGGAAAAAATTACGTTTTAGATAGCCAAGCATGCGGCATGCGACAGATCATGAGAACTGTCGGCCTTTATGAGCGTTTGACGCTTCATTCCCAATGTTCCTGCGAAGATTGATTCTTGGTGCGCAGATGTTATTGACTGGCATGAAATCGAAGAATTTAGAGACGCTTCCCAGACAACACCAGACATCCTCAGGACGTCCTCGAAAGGTACAAACATCCTCAAGGTTTTCAAGACGTCCTCAGGACATCCTGGGAACGTCAGTCGCTGGATCATTCTAGAAACGTCCTTTCGAGGACTTATTGAGGACGAAGTATACAAAGTTATAATATATACGTCCTCGATTTGATTGCGTTTTTAAACAAATAAATGAATGAAATAGCGGTAGTATACACAGTTCACGTTCACTGCTCAACTAAATTTCACATACAAATTATTACATGTAGTTGCGTAAGTTTAGGACATCTTTTAACTATAGTTTTGATCAAACAATTATTTAATAAAACACGGACGCACTACACTTATTATTAGTTTTGTATTTGCGCAGTATTTCGAAATTCAGTTCCATTGGCAACATTCAATCTAGGTGGCGCAAGCTACCGCCTACTACAAGGTGTACCGTTATGGCAATTATCCACCCATCCGAGAGACTCAAGCAAGCTAAGCCAAGCCAATTTTTAAACACCAGAAACCAAATAGCCAATAAACATTAATAAATAAATAATAGATAAATAAATAAATGACAACTAAAAAGAAATATAACTTAAAAAATTAAAAGAAATAATTTTTTAAGTTTCATTTTTTAATTGTAATTTATTTTCTAAAAATATTTTTTAACTTTATTTTTTTTAATTTTCTTCGTTTTATTTACATTTAGCCTGTCATTTTTTATTTATTATTTACTTATTAATGTTTATTGGCTATTTGGTTTCTTGTGTTTAAAAGTTTAAAATGTTCTCATTAACGGCGAAGGAGAAGATGATGACGATTTGAGGAAGAAGAAATTATATATCACTGAGTTGTTAGTCAGCGCTGCGAGTCTGTATATCCGCGCTGTTCCATCCATATTGATGATGGCAGCAATGCAAGGCAGGAGACAAAGGTTAGTGTGTTTTAAATGAATTCTTCTAAATAGCGGAAAGCAATGAACGGCAATTTCGACGGGAAAGATGCCGGCGCGTAAACGAATGCTTCGAGCTTTTCAACTGTGTGAAAGTAGACTCGGTAGCAAAGGTATCTTCCTCGCACGAACATTAATTGTGATTTTTTTCTAGACCATCTTAGCTTTCTGCTGTGACCGTCATCAGAAATCAATCTTTTACGAGCAGTGAAATCAAATGTTGAGTGCGCAAACAAAGCTGACGTGGAGACCATCATCAAAGTATGCCTGCGCCACGCTGGAGAGAAACTGAAAAAGCTGCAGTCAAAGGCCGCAGATGTTAGACACGATGGTAAGTTTCTCATATTACCTGTTTTTATTATTAATGCTTATGGAATTGATTTTTTCTGCAGATCCCGCTGACTATTGACTAGTGCTGGCCAAGATGCGAAGCCGGACTGCACGTCTGGTGCAGACATTGAAAAAAGTCATGTATAACATTTGCTCTGCAATAAAGTATTTCTTGAACAGTTACCTTTGTTTGCAATAATGAATGGCACGATCATGCTCATAGTTACAGGCTAAGAACATAGCGCAAAGAAATACGCAGAGGAGAAAGCCGACAGAATGCTGGAGGGGAGAGGTTTTCTTGTCTCCTTTTCAGCATTCCGCCAGCTTTCTTCCTCCTTTCCCTTGTCCTATGTTCTTAGCCTCTCACTGACTAATAATCTAGAATTAGTGTCTGAATTTCACTTTAAAATAGTGCACAACAAAGCATTTCTTTTCCCGCAGGCAGCTCTTGCAGGCATCTTCAGGTTCAAAATTCAGTTGGAGAAGACCTAGAAACAATAAAAATGAAAGCATCCTAACAGCTCAGTGAACAGCTGCACCTGCAGTGCATTGTCCTAAAAATGTACTAGAAAAATCCTTGGCTGCCCTCCTGAGGACGTTCTGAGGATGTCCTGAGGCCGGACAATAGGACGTTTTTAGGATGTTCCCAGGATTATTTGAGGACATCCTCAGGACATCATAACGTCCTCAAAAGGCTGTCCTGAGGACATCCTGGGGATGTCCAAGTGTTGTCTGGGTTTTCAGAAATATTCAATCAGAACACGCGTACTATTTTTTTCAAACTTTTTTTTTTTTTGCGTGTTTTTTTGTCGACGTTATGTCACTCTTGAGCACAAGGGCGTGCTGGGCAACCACCGGAACACGTCACCAGGCAAGGTGGAAACTAGCAACCAGTCGCCTGGCCTCCGGTCAGCTCTTTCTCGCCTGCAACTCCAAGACGAGCCCCAGGCCCCACAGACCTTGTCGGTTCGCTCGAAGAAACATTAAAGACATCTCATGACAAACACTCCTGCCAAACCAGTTTTTCAGCTCACGGCTTCCTTCGCGGAGGGAGGTCACTTCCTTTAGCTGGGATTCTATACGGGGTATTCGCCGGACGCCGTATTTGAGTGCACTGCTCACTGGGCATGCTCAGAACGACCTCACGCTTATGGGTTCCTAAGGCCGGCAATCTCGATGGTGTAGAATGCACGTTTTAAAAACTCTGGAAGCTCGCCGCGAGCACGTCCTGAGAAGCCACATACACAGCTATGGCCGCCAGTGAACACGCCTTATTGGCGACGTGAGCGATCGAAAGCGTCGCTGCGATCGGTCCACCACAATTGGCCGAATGCTGACTATGACGTCAGCAAAGGATATCAAATCCACTCAAATAAGAGCAATGTAAGAACTTCTATTCTGACGGTGCGGGTAGTGTCACTTTGAAAGCGCTATGATTTCAGGCTTTCACCATGCTCATTACAGACACCATCGAACTTGTTCTTCACAAGGTAATGACGTCACGAAAGGTAAACAAACGAGGGCGCCACCGAAACATCTCGCCGCTAATAGGGGCTGTGTTCCAAACCTTACCCAAATGGATCCGAGTTACTCCGGCGGATCGTATCACGTGACTGCAGATTGAAAAACGCTGGCCGTGGGTAGGTTTAAACGCCAAGGTACAAAACCCTTACCCTGGAGTAGGATCGAGTAAGTTTTGGAACACGGCCAGGGAGTATTCACTGTCGACCATAGCTCTGTAAGCAACAGCTGAGCACGTGCTGAGGACGAGCTTCCACAGTTCTTTAGCAACGTGCTTTCCACACCATCAATATTGCCACAGCCTATTAATGTGAGCTCGTTCTGAGCATGCGCTCTAAGCACTGCCCTCAAATATGGCATCCAGTGAATACTCCCTATTGACGACGTGCGCGATCGAAAGTATCGCTGTGGTCGGCCTTCCACGATTGGCCGAATGCTGATTATGACGTCAACAAAGGATTTCTCATCAACGGAAATAAGATAAATGTAAGAACATACATTTCGACGGTGTTGGCAGTGTTGGTTTTGAGCGCTATGATTTCAAGCTTCCCACCATGCTGAATACAAAAACTATCGAACTTGTTGCTCGCAATGAAACGACGTCATCAGAGGGAACCATACCAGGGCGCCGCCAAAACATCTCGCCGCTTGTAGGCCCGCTATGCGGCTAAGCTTCGGTGCCTTTCGTTCTAAATAGCTTTCCAGGGCAACCGAACATTTTCCCCAACCAAAGAAGACTTTTCAAGAGTCTTGAAGGAGCAGAAAGACTTCAATTCTTTCTGGAAGAAAAGGCGAGCACGGCAAAAACCGGAAGCACGCGTGTCTGTGAGGACATATGCCTTAAACGAATCTAGGTCCTCGCTGCCGTTGGCTGCACTGCGCAGATGCTCTTCGGGGCCGTCTTCAGCTCAAGCAGGGTTCCTATGACCGTCACCTTGACATAAAAACGTCGTAGTGAGGGAGTTTATACATCACTTGTCGGAAGCTATTAGCGGGACACAGGTTGGTCGCGAGTGCTGGTTCAGCATTCGGCTTTGATTCGTGTTCTCACTCATTGAACGCAAATTCCAATCAAACGCTGACACAGCACTCTATAGGTGACGTAGATGACGTAGAAAATGCGCCCCTACACCCTCGGTGCAGCAATAAGCGCGCCAGCAACAACAAGGACGACAATGCTTTCGGATGTCTCGTCCTATATTCGTCCCTTTTGTTGATTTCTGTATCTTTTTGGGGCATTACCAGCGTGCTCAAATTCGTCGAACAATTGTTATCTATGGGGGTGTTGCCGGTACGACTCGAGCGAAACCTTGAAGATAGCGACGAGGCATTGATTACAACAACAACACAAATGGTGTAGCAAACTGTTGGACAACTGTGTTACACGTGAAAGGTTCCGGTATCGCTCCGGAACGTAGCCGATCCCGGCGACCCACGCTCACGGCGCTTCTTATCAGATAACTTAACGCGTGGCATAGAGATTCGATGGCAGTTCCTGGAATGAAGATACTGGCGCTAGTCGGGTTCTAAAGTCTGGCGATTTACCAGAACTTCCCACACTCACCGGAATCAGCCAGTCAGCGTTGATCACTTAACCTTTCCACCAGCCAATCAGCGTCGATCTTCGAGGTCGATTTCTTGGGCTTCACTAAATCTATCCCCCCCCCCCCCCCTCCCCCTCCCCCGACAAGTAAAAGAACGTTTCACGTTAAAAAGCAAACATATATTCGTAACTGGAACGCTCATGACCCAGTTCTTTGGTAGGAAGCGACGTTTCAAGGGACACTTCTGTACGATGGTGTTTCAAGAGCATTTACTAACAATCGTGAAGGACTGAAGTATATGTCCTATTGTACCATCTAAGCGATAGTGCCTATTGGTTAGTACAGTTGTATAGGAACCATTGTCCGAAATTGCTTGCTTAGCTGTAACTAGAGGGCTACGCTTCGAAGTACCTACACTGCATCCATGGGATTAAATTGGATTCTTTGGCTTTCCTTTCGTAGCGGGTGAAAACAGAACTTCGGATTGCGGGTCTAGCCAGTGGCTTAAGAACCATCTTGATGTTTAAAATCATGGTTGCCAGTAATCTGAAGTTTTATCTGGAATTGCACTGTTTTTCCGTCTTCCAGAAATGATGAAGCGGACGATATCACCTGGGCTTTCGCATTCTCTTATCGTAGATCCCCACTCGCGCCGCTCTGCATTAGGCACCAAAATGGCGGCGCCAACGAGGGAATGGGAAAATTGAGGGACGGAACCCTAGGCGTAGCTTATTGTCTAGAGACTCTAGGTGTAATAAGTCGGAGAAAAAAAAAAGAAAGAAAAGCAGAGAGCGATCGCTCTAGTGAGTCTTTCAGAGCCTGTAAAATCCTGTTCCAATGTTGACCGATGCTGTCAAGGGGTTGAAAAATTTGACGGAAGGATGTCCTTTAGCCGCAGGCACCTTGGATGATGGTGTCGACTTTTGGGCTGCAGCTGCCTTTTCCTGGAAGATGGTATAGAAACCAGAGGTAATTTGCACAAACGCTACTTGCTTAGGTGGGCGCTATCTAGGATATGCAGCGCCTATTATCCGAATTCGCCATGGTTCGAGCAAGCGCTTTGAGCTTGCAATTGGATGCGAGGGCTCTCTCAGCGTTCGGCGAGCACTCGGATCCAATCGCATGCTTCGTGCCCAAACAATGGCGGCCACCAAGGTTGCTTGGTGCAGTTTTGAAAGGGGTCTATTGTAATGCTGCGTAAATTAAGTTATGTCAGTCAAAATCGTTTTTTTCTTTAATTAGGCGGAGACAGTCATGTCTCGTTAATAAGGACACCTATATAGGTTTCCCGATTAAAGCGTCCAAAACGCCAGTTGTCCAAACGAGAAAACAAAAAAGTGAAAGCCGTTTACAACTTCCTGTAACGCCGAATTGGAGCGCAGCTCTTGAGGAGGAGGAGGGGAGGGTATATTCCTCCTCCTCGTGATCATGCCTGCTAGTCCTGCTCCCCTCCTGCTCCCCCTCCCTCTCCTTTACCACCTTTACCGGGCGGGGGAGGAGGGGGGAGGAGGAGGAGCGGAGGGGGAGGAGGAGGAGGGGAGGGGCGACGCCGACGCCGCACAGGCTGGAAACGGGTCATGTGACCCCCTCCCCCCGAGGTCACGTGACCCGCCCGGACCATACTACACAATGAGGGGAGGAGGAGGAGGAGGGGGAGGAGGAGGAGGGGGAGGAGGATGAGAGGGAGGGGGAGGAGGAGGAGAGGGAGGGTGTGATGAGGTGGACTATAGAAGCGAGAAGAGAGAAAGACGAAGTGGGGCCGGGCAGTGTGGTGCGCGTGAAAAAGGGAGCTTCTGAAGGCAGATCGGCAACTGCGACGCTAAAGAAGACATCGGTGGGCTCCCGCGGTCCCGACGGCAGCAACGACTGGTTCTGGACGGGCGGCTAGAGGCCCGTGAGAGCTAGCCCTGGCCAAGGGGACCGCCGCCTACGCCGGAAAGCGAACATTCCCCAAGCCGACCCAGAAGGCAGCACCCGTGGCCGCCGCCGACGACGACGTGAAGGTGCGGTGCCTGACTCGAGTGAGACTACGTCATCTATTTTCGTTTTTTCTTCTGTACATAATACACCTCTCTTTCTTTCACTCGCCGTCCTCGGGTTCTTTGTCCTTTATTCACCACCTTTCCATCACAATATCTGGCGTCCGCGACAGGACTCTCTAATTGTTAACAACCCCTAGAGAGCAGAACCCCGGGACGGCTGTGTGGGAGGGATAAGAGCATGGATGCAGAAAAATTGCTTGGCGTTGGTAAAGAGCTCGGGTACGTGGGCGAAGAACTCCGTACCTGGGTTGAGCAAGAGCGTGGTAGGCAACGCGAAGAACGGGTCAGATTGCGAGAAGATGCGCGGGAAGCAGCTAAGGAGACACAGGACACCGCTGACCGAGAGCTCCGCAGGCTCCAACAGGAACAAGAAGTGTTACAGCTGCGCCTGCGCTTACAAGAGAATAGCGGCTCAGCTCATGATGAAGTCCACCACACCAATGGCAGGGGAGAGAACTCGGGAGCACAAACTTGTCACCGGAGTCCCCACAAACTAATTCCACCATTTAATGAAAAGAGAGACGACCTGGACGCGTATATCCAAAGGTTTGAGCGGGTTGCAACTAGCCAGGATTGGCCTCGAGAAAAATGGGCAATGTCCTTAAGCTTGTGCCTCACCGGTGAGGCATTGACAGTTGTGGGTCGAATGACACCAGAGCAGTCATTGGATTATTCTAAAGTCAAACTTTCCCTGCTACAGCGGTTTCGTTACACCACTGAAGGGTACAGAGAGAAATTCAGGGAAAGCAAGCCAGAGGAGGCAGAGACGGGGAAACAATTTGCAGCCCGACTTCTTGGGTACTTTGATCGCTGGGTTGAAACTGGAGAAATTGCGAAGACGTTCGAGGCCCTGAAAGATCTGATAGTTGCGGAACAGTTCTTAAAATATTGTCACCCAATGCTATCAGTCTTCTTAAAAGAGAGGAACTGCAAGACGCTCGAAAACATGGCAGTAACCGCGGACCACTTCTTGGAGGCGCAGGGCCAAACTAACTTGGCAAAAAGGAACAACGACAGCCTGAACAGTAACAAGGGTGGAGATCGAAGTAAGGAGGATACCCGAATGCCACCCACCGCTAGGGGGAGGAATCAATGTTTTCTCTGCAACAAGCCAGGTCACAAGGCAGCAGACTGCTGGGCGAGCACCAAGGCTCAACGCTTACCCGTGTGTTGGAGATGTGGGAAAACGGGACACAAGGCAGCAGCATGTAACTGGAAACCGCAAGACAAGCAGGATAGACCTCCTCAGGCTTCCTGTATGCTTTCCGTTCGACCAACACCTGACGAGACAGACCCAGATGACACATATGTCCTACTGAAAAACGGGGACAAAATCCCAGTGGTGAATGCGGCACTTGGAAAGGCTCCACGATTTCTAGTAGAAAACATGCCAGTGGTTCGGGGAAAAGTGGGAGATCGAGCTGCCACAGTATTGCGAGACAGTGGGTGTAACACGATTGTAGTGAACAGAGACCTGGTTACGGATGATCAGCTAACTGGGGTTTCCAGTCCGGTGTTTTTGCTGGATAGGACGGTCAAATATCTGCCAGAGGCAGAAATTGATGTAAGAACGCCTTATTTTACAGGCAAGGTATTGGCGAAGTGTATGGAGAACCCTCTGTATGATTTGGTACTCGGGAACATTGAAGGGGCGAGAGGGATTGATGATCCAGATGAGGAATGGGAGGGAGAAGGATCAGGGAGATCTAAAAGAAGTGAGGAGAGTAACATGCTGATAAGCACGTCCGTGCGGCACGAGACTGCCGGCAGGATGACCCAAGACGAGGGTGAAAGGATGCCAGACGACGGTGTTCTGGATAAAGAAAGAAAATACGCAGGGGCGCTCACAAAGGGGCGCTCAGACAGCCAAAGGACGTTTTCCGAGTTACCAGTCATGACATTGGATCCGATTGACGTTGACCACGCTAAGCTGAAGGAGGCACAACGTAGTGATGAAACACTGAAGAGGTGTTTCGCTGTCGTTGGCACAGCGTTTGTGTCGGGAAAATCGCAGGAATCCGAGTTCTTTCTACACAACTGTATTCTCTACAGAAGATACAAGGACTCGTCGCAAAAACAGTGGAAACAGCTGGTGGTCCCCAAAGAATTTCGGCAGATTGTGTTGAAGCTCGCACACGAGGGGATCATGGCTGGCCACCAAGGAACAGGAAAAACCACCGATCGTATTCGTGAGGAATTCTATTGGCCGGGAATAACAGCGGACGCGAAACGATTCGTGAAATCGTGCGACATTTGTCAAAGGACTATCCCGAAACACTTGGTTATCAGGGCACCCCTAGAAAATATGCCTATCATTAGTACACCATTCCATAGAGTTGGCATAGATATCATCGGACCTATCAATCCGGGTTCAGAGTCCGGCAGCAGGTATGTTCTGACGGTGGTGGACTTCGCAACCAGATACCCTGATGCAATCCCATTGAAGAGCATTGACACCGCGGAAGTCGCTGAGGGTCTGTTAGAGATATTTGCCCGAGTAGGCTTACCACGAGAAATTGTGAGCGACCGAGGGTCATGCTTCACTTCAGCCTTAATGAAGGAGGTCAGCCGCTTGCTCTCGCTCAGACATCTGACCACGACGCCTTACCATCCAATGTGCAATGGATTGGTCGAAAGGTTCAATGGGACAATTAAACAAATGATTAAACGGATGTGCCAAGAAAAACCGAGGTGTTGGGACCGGTACCTTAATCCGTTGCTCTTCGCGTACCGGGAGGTGCCGCAAAGCAGCCTAGGATTTTCACCCTTCGAACTTCTTTATGGCCGACATGTTCGCGGTCCTATGACAGTGTTGAAGGAACTCTGGACAAATGAAAGCATAGACCCCGAAACGAAAACAACCTATGGTTATATGGTGGATCTTCGACGGAGACTAGAAGAGACTTGTAAGACCGCCCATGAGGAATTGAGGAAAGCTCAAATGACCCAAAAGAGGTACTACGACAAGAAAAGTGGAGTTAGACAACTGAAAGAGGGAGACAGAGTCCTCATCTTGTTGCCAACGGACAAAAACAAGTTGATTCTGCAATGGAAAGGACCATTTCCAGTATTAAAAAGGAGGAATAACGTGGACTACCTAATAGACCTTGGAAGAAAGTCTACTGTATTTCACATCAACATGCTCAAAAAGTACGAAGAGAGGGAAGTTCTATGTGCTCCCCGTCAAGCCCTGGTTGGCATTACCATCGAAGAGGAGTCAGAGGAGCAAGACATTCCTAGTGTCTGCCTTAGCCAACTGGAAGGCTACAACGATGTACAGATGTCAGAGGAGCTAACTGAACGACAAGCAGGAGAGGTCTACCAACTGCTAGAAGAATTTCGAGACGTATTTTCGGACTGTCCCGGTCGGACCAGTCTCGTACAGTGCAAACTGAGATTGACAACGGACACACCAATTCAAGTACGCCCGTATCCTGTCCCTCTAGCACTGCAAGACGCTGTGGAAATGGAGGTAGACGAGATGCTACAACAAGGCATTATCGAGAAATGCGACTCAGCCTACAGTTCACCGGTAGTTGTCGTCAAAAAGAAAGACAAGACCACAAGGCTCTGCATCGACTTTCGCCAGCTGAACAAGGTTCTAGTACCTGATTGTGAACCTATCCCCCGCGTCGACGTGATGTTCGCTAGAGTGAGCACAAAACGTTACTACTCCAAATTTGACTTTGCGAAGGGCTACTGGCAGGTACCAATGGCTCCAGGGTCAGAGGACGCAACGGCTTTCTCGACAACAACGGGATTATATCGATTCCGGTTTATGCCCTTCGGCATCAAAACAGCCCCGGCAGTATTTACACGGCTGATGAGGAAGATTCTTGATGGCGTACCGGACGCTCATCACTACTTTGACGATGTTTTAGTTGCGTCTGACTGCTGGGAAGATCACTTAAAAGCAGTGCGTCAGTTTTTGACCAGGGTGAGAGAAGGAGGACTAACGATCAAACCCAAAAAGACAGAGATTGGCTTCTCCAAAATAACATTCCTGGGCCATAAGGATGGGCAAGGATCCTTCGAGCCTCTAACGGAGACCCTGGAGAAAATCCAGGACTGTAAACAACCTCGAACCAAAAAAGAAGTAAGATCATTCCTGGGATTAACAGGCTACTACAGGGAGTTTATCCCAAACTACGCGGAGACCGCACTTCCTTTGACGGAGCTGACGAAACAAAGAGCGCCTGACAAAGTTATCTGGGAGAACAAACACGCAAAGGCATTCGATGAACTGAAAAGACTGCTTTCCAGAAAGCCTATCTTGAAATCACCGGATGTGACGAAGATATTCGTACTGAGGACAGACGCCTCAGAAAGGTCCTTGGGAGCCGTGCTCATGCAAGAGCACGACAACGTTCTTCATCCCAACGCTTATGCTAGTCGTAAACTGCTACCCCAAGAGGTCGCCTATTCCACCATAGAGAGAGAATGTCTAGCTCTCATATGGGCAGTAAAAAAGTTTCATGTATACTTGTTCGGAAGACACTTCACCATACAAAGCGATCATCAACCGTTGCAGTACCTTAATTCAGCCAGAAAATTAAACAACCGGGTACTGAGGTGGAGTTTACTACTCGCCGAATACGACTTCCACGTCACGTACATCAAGGGAAGCGAAAACTTTGGAGCAGACTTTTTGAGTCGCTTGTAATCTGCTCTGGCACATCACTGTCATCGTGAAGGCCTGTCCATCCCTTTGTGTATTGCAACTTTCTATGACAAGATGAAAACATGGCTTACACATGCAAGTTTGGTAAACACAAGCAATATGATGGCTTGCGAAACTGGGACGTGAGAACGCGAACAGCCAGCTGAGTGAGTGTCAACACCGGCCTAATTACTTAGTTTAACTTAGAAAAGTAGTGCGATGTTTCTTACTCTTATGTTTTTGGTTTGATTGTTTGTTTGTCCCTTTTTGAAACAATTGGAACAATTGTCTTAAAGGGGGGGTCGTGTGATGAGGTGGACTATAGAAGCGAGAAGAGAGAAAGACGAAGTGGGGCCGGGCAGTGTGGTGCGCGTGAAAAAGGGAGCTTCTGAAGGCAGATCGGCAACTGCGACGCTAAAGAAGACATCGGTGGGCTCCCGCGGTCCCGACGGCAGCAACGACTGGTTCTGGACGGGCGGCTAGAGGCCCGTGAGAGCTAGCCCTGGCCAAGGGGACCGCCGCCTACGCCGGAAAGCGAACATTCCCCAAGCCGACCCAGAAGGCAGCACCCGTGGCCGCCGCCGACGACGACGTGAAGGTGCGGTGCCTGACTCGAGTGAGACTACGTCATCTATTTTCCTTTTTTCTTCTGTACATAATACACCTCTCTTTCTTTCACTCGCCGTCCTCGGGTTCTTTGTCCTTTATTCACCACCTTTCCATCACAGAGGGGCGCGGTTACGCCGACGGCGACGGCGACGCCGACGGCGACGCCAACGGCGACGCCGACGGCGACGCCAACGGCGACGCCGACGCCGCTCAGGCTGGAAACGGGCCCCTAAGAGCTGCGCTCTAAAATGAATGCATTTACCCAGTTGGTCCCGGAAAACGTTGTCTATGTAGCGGCGTATTAACGATACATGACTATATTAGACGAGCAACTAACAAGACTATCGTGATGTTTGGATTCAAATCTCCGGCGGTTCCTTCGAACTGCTCGATGTCGGTTCCACACACGTTGTTTCAATGAAGTTCTTTTTTTTTTTTTTTAGTTTTTGCTTTCTCAGTTCTAGTTTTCACGAAAATGCGTTTGCATAACGTGCTATCAAACACCCCGTAAAATATAACGGAATGCCCCTTCATATGCATTTAACGTCTTTGCGTTCTCATCGGTGAATTGACCCTTCCAGGAATGTTTTTAACTAAACGCGTCAATTAAGAGTCGTCCACATCGTTCTGGCAGGAAGCGGTGCGAGTACTTTCCTTTAGAAACACCTTTCACGAATTCTTGTGCAAACAAAATATGTTAGCGATAGGCCCACGCGCATGTGCAGTTGATGGCACTGCACAAGACCTAATTTGTTTTAATATTTTCTCTTTACTATTTTATTTACAAATTTCGTTGCATTCACCCCTTCAGTGTTCGCAGATCCATCGCTCAGTGTGGAATCTTTACATATGTCAGCATACGCTGGTCCGTCGCTTGGGGAAATGAGCGAAGCAACTGCGCAAAACGCGCGAATTCTGAAGATGGCTCCTGCCAGCAGAAGCCCATCATGGGCACGTTTCAGGCTTCAGAAAACATACGAGCCGCGCACCATACGCTCGAAATTTAAAGGTTGGCACTGGCCAGAGGCTGGAGAGATATCAAAACCCATCATGTGTCTGAAGCGCCCACTGGCATTCCTTCCTCAGTAAAACATGCATGTCGGACTTTTCGAGTTACTTCCGCTGCTCTCCATCTCCAACACGCGCTTGTTGCCCTCTAGTATGCTTTGGCTGTGCATGCGCCAACGTGTTTTCGAAGGCAGAAACGTTCGCTGTATAGGTGGAACTTCCTTAACCTGATACCTAAAGCCCCTTCATGTTTCAAAAGTACGTCGGTGCGCGAGGCACGTGCAACGTGCAGCCCTTGGGAAGATCATGGCGGCACAGCGCAACATTGAGCTACGACGCCGTGTTCTTCCCAAAAATGGCGCGCGGCGCATGTCTCGAGCATTTCCACAACAATGATTGGCGCCACTTTTCCTAGGACAGAGGGGCTTTAGCCTCCTGTCGTTTGAAGCGCCATCTAGCTTATCCTTGCCAAACAGACTATGCATGCTATATGTAGAGTGCTATGAAATGTCATCTATAGACGCTCTGCATCTAAAATACGAATTCCATAGAATCCACTGCATGCAGCAATTGCCATAGCAGCCATCCTCAAACCGGTGGCGCGTCCAACGACAAGTGTGTGTGTGTGTGTGTGTGTGTGGGGGGGGGGGGGGGGGGGGGGCGGGAAGGAAGGGGGAAGGGGGGAGCACTGCTCGTGCAAGCAGCGTCTGTGGGCAGTTTCGTAACTGAGCTAATCGAGTCATGATGGGCATATTGTAGTATTTAAATTTTTCACAAGTTCTTTACACACTCTTCAGATGGCGCCACTTTCCACCATTGCGCCGTGTTGTCAGGGTTGCGTCCCCGTGGCGCCCTACCCCCATGTTTGTTTACCGTTAATAAAGAGAGTTACGCTTCAACAACCGACCGCTTCGGACGTGCCTCCTTCCTTCCGGGGCTCCCGCGCCCGGCCCGCCGGTCACCACTTCGGCATGCGAGACCCCTCGTTTTTCCGCAGGCCCACGCAGGCACTGCTCTTCGTTATTTTCTCCGGTGTCCGCATTTTCTTTTATTACAACATTTTGGCGACGAGAAATTACTACACATATCCTCGTCGTGGCGTCACGTACGAGAGCCATAAGAAGGCGTCACCGAAAGATCTCGACGTTAACTTGGATTTTGAACCGAACATTTCAGAGTCTATAATAAGCAGCGCACTATCTTTTCATGAGTCAGCAGCCCCTCGTGTGCGCGAGCATACGCAACTAAATTGACGTCATCATATCCCCTATTCACGCTTTAAGCTCGAATGAGGGATATGATGACGTCAATTTCGTTGCGTGTGCTCGCGCACCACCAGGGGCTCCTGACTCATGAAAAGATCGTGCGCCCCTTATTATACACACTGAAATGCTCGGTTCAAAATCCCTTTAACATTATGTTCTGCGGTGGCTACCCTGCAGTGCGCAGTGAGAAATCTGGAGCGGTCACTTTCGAGCGAAGCACTTGAGAAAGCCAATCGCACCAATCAGGGACCTCGAAGAATGACTAGGCTGAAAATATATGTTTAGGCCTAAAACAACAGTTTGTGCACTGCCACTGAGCAGAGTGAAACATCGTGCTCAGAGCTGAAGCGCAGAGTTTTTTTCGTCGATTGTCCTCTGAGTGATTTGGGGAGTAAACGCTCTAGATTTCCCAGCGTGATGCACTTGATGGCCAAAGAGTTGGAACAGAAGGTGTGTTGACACCTACGTTTCTTTTCCCGTTCATCGTCCAGAAACAGCATCCTATGGCTGCGACGCAGATGGCTCCTGCCGCCACTCCCAGTGCCGTGGCAACGACGGTTCCGATCGGCGTGCTATCAAAGCCGCCCGAAAAACCTAGACACGGGAAAACAATTTCCTCAGTCTGTCGCGTGCGGTGGAAGCACAGAGGCTAGGGGATCTTATGAACGTACCTGCAATAGGGCATGGGAAGACCCCAGTATCTTATTATCGGTTCGCAGCCAATCAGGTTACAGCATTAGCCGCTACTAAATCCGAAAAGACAATCCCGAAGCTAGAAGCGGGAACACAAGAGGCTGCGCCTTGCATTTCGTAAACCGACAGGGAGTATCAAGTGCTGAACAAAATGTTTTACTTGCAACCGCCCCTTCCCCCCCCCCCCCCCCCCCCCCCCCAAAAAAAAAAAAAAAAAAAAAATTTTACAATTAGTAAGTTTGCATACTTCAAATTGGCCGTCACACTTTCGGAGTGAATTAATACACGGCTGAAATATAAACAATATAATTTTGTATGTGTTTCTCAAGCGTGAGATCTTTATTCTATTGACAGTATATGCGTAACTATACACCACCGTGTAAGCTATACCAAAGGTATTCCTCCTCGGTTGCCATAAAGTAGTCTATGCCTCAACTCATGCTTGTGACGCATACTGCTCAGGTGATGTCGGTGGTTGTCAAACAAAACGTACGCCGATGACGCCGATGCTTGGCTCCTAAGAAATAAAAAAAAAAAAACGGGTTTCTGCGCGTGCGCGGTGCCCGCCGCCTCTGTGCCTGACTGAGCTTGTTCGAAAATATAGAGCATTCGGCCCATACTGACGAGATTCGGCGCAAACTCACAGCGAACAGAGCTGTTCTCGATGTGGCAGTTGACGTTCGTGAAACCGTCATCGAGAAGGCAGCTCGTCAGGCGTTCCTCCATCACTTGCTGCGGGGACAGTCCCCTTGGGGACCTGTTTAGCGTAAGGTTTCCCGGCGGCTCGTTGACGTTGGATAGTGGCGTGGCATTTCCGGCCGTCAGGATGGCCCAGGTAGCGGTGACGAGCAGATACCGTATCCGATGGTTCATGACCTATAGGGTAAACAAAGGCTGTAGCCATCGACAGCTCAAGAAACGCAGTACAAGGCATCAGTACACGGCATCGAACCTTGACAGGTAGTGACGATAACTGTCTCGCCTATTCGCGACTCCAGCGACCTATAGGGGGCGCCACCACCAAACAAACATGGCGGCTGAGTCCAGGTCGCGTCGGCTCGGAAGAACAGGCGGTTGCTAGGCCTGAATGGGTGGCGCATTCAATTTAACAAATTTTATTTTGTTGAATGCCCAATTTTATGGGTATTTGAACTGAGACAGTTAAGTGTAGCCGGTGCACATAAACTTGCCGAGCATAGTTTTGTTTTGCCGATGTTTTTTTTTTTTTTTTTCTTTTCATGTCAAACTTTCGTTTCGGAGACTTCGATCAAAACCGAAACTATGGGATCCGGAGAAACGGTAATAGACTCTAATTAGTTTTGATCATCTAAGGAAAGTGGTGAGGGCTACAAAATTGTTCCACCGAGAGTAATTTTTAGCTAACTCGCATGCCTCGACCATGCGACTTATCTGTCCGCGAAATGGAGCTTTTGTGCCTGTCCGCGTTTCAAGAAAAAGCTCCAGTCGTGTGCTCGGTCAAGAACACAGGCTGCAGGAAAACTACGAAAATTAAGCAAGCGCTTCTTGAGCCAAGGAGCATGTCAACTCGCTGGCGCTTCACTAAGCAGCTGATAGTCGTATTTCAATTCAGGTTTTAGTAGCAATCGAGAAGTCATTTTGACGAATATGCGGATTATGTATCATATTACGTACTATGTCCCTAAAGCGATATTAGTATATTCTTCGGGTTGAAATATGAACTTAGTTGACTAACTATTAGGTGAACTGCTGAATAAAAGTATATTTGACAGACAGAGAGATACTACTTAAACTTAGCCAAATGGTTCTAGCCGGTAGAACGGAGACGAATGCGGACAAACTGAGGAGAGTCTTCATCGGAGATTCACACAGACCTCTCTGCATTGAACTTGACTTCGAATCCTAAACGGATAAAATGAGTATTTTTTTGTGGCCGGTCAACCTGAGCGATGTAGACGTATATTGCTGCTGGCTTCGACAGGGGTTATAATATAAATATTGGAGGCGCGATAGATCCTAATGACGTGACAGCTTCTAACTTTGCGAGACGCGTCCCCCACCTTTTGAAAGCAGATAATTTCCCTGATTAATCATATGCAGCGAGCAGGTTTTCTGAATCAAGTAATTGCGAAATTAGCCCAACTTTTTCAATGTGGTCTTTTTCGGCGAAAAGCCGCCAAGATGAATAGCCAACGCACCGGCCGGCGTTAGTGGCTCAAATTAACTTGAAGCTAATCGAGCACAACCAAACTCAAGGAAAGCAGCTATCCAACCTTTCCATTCACTTCACTGCAACATTGGTGTTCCCTCCAGTGAAACACTTCGTCTGTCGACCTCAGTCCACTGTTCTACATCCTTATAAAGAAACCATTTATCAGTTACCAAGCAGTCGTCACTTTGAATGTGATTAGAGACAGACGAGAAATCAAAACGTTTTTCCGTGATTCCTCCTCATCCAAAAAATTGAAAGCACGCGACCGTGTGTTGTGGAGTAAACGGGTTTTCAAACACGTGATGGAAAGAAACAATCTACTGAGGCTTCACCACACTAATGAACACTCAGGCAAACTTAAGAAATTTTCGGACCTTCGTCAAATTACATTGCTCGCCCCCGCGCCGACACCACGCGTCCGCGAAAGCCATCAGAGACGCGGCGGGGCGCGGAGCAACCTGGACCGACTGGTTCCCGGTTTTCCCGCTTGGCGGCGTCCGTTTTGCTGGAGTCGCGAATAGTCGGTTACAAGTCAAGAAGGTAGGAGAAGCTCCTCCCACAAGTGTGATGCGCCCGTTTCAAATCTCTCCGCAGTCGAAAGAAGAGTTCACTGGAAACGCTCCTTGTTCCGCTTCAATGGATTCCCACTTGTCTCCGATCCCGCTTTTTAAGAAAGCGACCTTTGTATTCATCGGAGAGGGAACCGAGCCCCTGAAAGCAGCCTTTGTATCCATCGGGGGGGAAGCTAATCCCCGAAAGTCGTATTTGTTTCCGTCGGTGGGGGGAACTCTAATCTCCCTCTCGTGGCTTCCACAATGCTAAGTCAAAGTCGAAAGATAAAGCAAATATGTACAGAAAGGCAAGACCCTTCTCGCGCGCTGGCCGCGACGTCACGGAAACGCTGGGACGCTATTGGATGCGGAGGTGGCGGAGGGATATCCGATTCCCTTTGAGGGGCTTTTGCCGCTACCTTCTTAACCTGTAACTGACTATAGAACTATACATGGTTTGAACCTGACGTCATCCAGACAGCTCTACGGACAGCACAAGAGGGGAGGGAGGAACACCCCACTCCATGGTACTCTCTTTTGTGTGACCCAGACGTCGCTATTCTCCCTCTACAAGATTATAGAAGATTAACCCGTCACGCAAAATTCACACAAAAGCAGCTTTGCGGTTAGTTGCGGTGGCCCGATCGCTGGCGTGCTTCGACCGCTTCGGTGGCTGGAACAGCCAGGGCATCCTGACGACGTCAGCCTCGCAGCAGCTTTGCTCATTCCGAGACAAACTACGTCACGATTGCGCCGGACGTGACGTGCTCTCCGCTGGCTGCTCTCCAAGCGCTTGCCACAGTGTGCCGTTTATAACGAAAAATACAGCCACCAGGCTCAAAACACAAACGTGCGATGGTCATCTACGGGTATTGTGGATCATCTTCAGCGTATTTTTGAACACGATGGGTATATTTCAAATTTCGTTGAAGTATCCCTTTAAGATGTCAGCGTCTATATAAGAACTTTAGCTGGTCTGAAAATTTTCACACACCTGAACAACATCGACGCTTTTAATGGGTATGCATTCAAAGAAGTCTGGAGCGTCTGTTCTCCTGCAAAACCCCTGAGAGAGCTAATCACTGTAACCTACTGAGGGAGCTCGACAAATAATAGGGCTGAGGACTTGTCCAAACCTAAAAAATACTGTCTGCGCTGAAGCATTGAACATAAAATTTCCCCGTGCTCAGTGTTAAAGCGCAGACCGTTTTCGGGGGACCAATCATATTATCAGGCTCATCATTCGCCGAGCGCCCTCCGTATGATCGCAGCGGCTGCAGCTCTCCCAAGGACTTTACGGGAGAGGCAGACGATCCCGATTTCTTAGAGCGTCCATGGTCGTCCAAGGGCATTTACTGAAAATTTATAGTCCAAAGTGAGCACTGGAAAGTGGTGACATAACCTTGGACATCTTAAAAACGCAAAGCGTTGGCTAGATATTTTTTACACTTCTTTCTTCCTTGTTCGCTCTTCGACGTCGTTATCGGCTAACGTCGCAAAGTCTTCGGCTGCGAAGGGACAACAGGATATACTTGAAGGACGTGTTGGTTCAAGTGATGGAAGAAGAAATAATAAACAATTAACACTGGGACTGAGATGTGGTTGTGTTGTCCCAGTGTTAATTGTTTATTCTTTCTACTTCCGACAACAGGATGTTCGCTACTCATTTCTTAAACTGGCGGTGACCACAGCAGAGGACACATGTAGACCCCGGATGAGTACCGTGGAGCCTGAATTGCTTTTGCCTGACCTACATCATGAACGAACTTTGTTACAGAACGGAGTCCATGCAAGCTCTTTTGCAAAACTCTTAATTCTGACGCAACACTTATGCCGTTATGCGGTGAACACAATCAAAGAGTAAAAAAACCAAACCGGCCCTCACGCCAATGTATACCACGTGCCAACGGAAACTTGAGTTCTATACTAACCCCGGAGTTTCTGCGCGGTTTAAGAGAGGCGCTTACCCGCAGCTTCGCTGAAACACTTGAGACTTACGAACCACTGAACCGATGACCGCCAATCTCTCGTTTCCGTTACAAGAGCAAGTTGTGACCTGTGGTGGAGAGTTGTTCCCTCGAATGTCTCGTGGATCTGGTCGACAACGACTTGAGGGCCCAGTAGTTGTCTCGAAGTCCAAATGATGCCGATAAGATACTTCCCCGATCTCGAGGTTGTTGCGTGCTCTCCACGCCGCCTCTGCCGAAAAGTCCAACGCCTAACGAGCAAAGGTGACCTTCCAAAGTTTCGAATGCTCTCCAGAATCCTCTTTGTCAAAACGGACCAGCGGAGCACGAATGCCACCTCGCCCGTTGAAATGTCTCCAAAAAAAGAGAAAAAAAGCAAGTTTTTACAAGATTTTTTAAAATAATAAACAGCTTTTTTTTTTTACACGACCTTGTCGTCAAAGTTGTGCACGCTGTGGACTTATAGTATAAAAAAAGAACAGTGATTTTTAAAGCGCACACAAACCTATATATCGTGTCCATCGCACAAGTCGGATAGCCAGTCGCCGGCTGACGTACTAATACCATCTTATGTCTTCTTCCTGACTGGTTGTTGTTCTGTTAGCTATCTTTCTCGGTCTGGCCTCTTTAATCTGTGGCTTTACCGCTTCACGGCTTTACTTTAATTGAACGGCTTCTTGCGTCATCAAGCGGTGGCTCGTTTAATGCAGCACCTGACGTTGCTTCCTGTTGCTTGGGTTCGTGTTGCATTTTCCCTCAGATTTAACCAGATTTTGCCCTGTATAACACGTTTGCAAGTCCGGTCTCAGGGCGCCGCCATCTTTCCCCGTGGGGTGCGCTCTTTGGCGCGGCCATAATCCGATTACGACGCCTTAGCAAGGCTTCGTAATCGGGTTATAGCTCGTCCAAGCGCACCACAGGCAAGCAAGATGGCAGCGCCCTGAAGCCGTACTTGCAAACGTGTATAGTGGTTCACAAGCCAGAGCATACAAGGGTCTTAAACGGCAGATGTCACAATCTGACCACAGAAGAGAAGGGAATTGGATCGAAAAAGCGAAGCTCACTAAGTGTATGTTTTCGATATAGTTTTAGGCTAGGTGGCGCAGCCACCGCTTGTTATTAAGGACGTTAACGTTCATCCATACATCCATTCATCCATCCAATGCCGACAGCGATCACGTGATCTCTTTCCTTCAAGCTCCATTGGCGGGTTCCCTCGCCGTTTCGTTCACGCTTCCATGGGACTAAACTTGTGCCTATCTGAGATACT